TAAGCTTGGAATACCATGAAGGAATCTGTTTAAGTGAAGATGAGTTCGAAGTTTCGTTGAGTAAGAACTAAATTACGTCTGTGCAAAGACTACTTGACGATCGAGAGGAAGATAGCAGTGATGAAGATAGCAATGAAAAAAGAGGTGTAAGAAGGCAAAACATTATGGTAATACATGGTGAATGTAAAAGCGACAGTGATTCCGCAGGAGACAGAAAAAATTTAAAATGGACAGAGTACACAGAATCCGAAGAAATGCCGCAAAAAATACAGTTTACATCCTGCGAAAGAGCCACAGGACCGCAAGTATCTTCAGACATGTTGCTGTTGTTGTCTTGTCCGTGTTACAAAAGAACAATGGCTGCCAGAGCCTACTCCAAAGAGAGGTTGGACTACTATCACCTTTAGACATAAAATAATCATTAAGTTCTGTGAAATCGTTTTAAGTAAGAAATTCACCAAATTTGCAGAAAGTTGCCTCAAGTTGCTGGTTCGCCCACGCAGGTCTCGAGTATAAAGGGTTAATGTAGATCAGAGGTAGGCCACTTGCTTAATTCGGTCCGTTATGATATCCTTTAAAAAGGCATTTTCATCTCTTCTCTACCTAAGTCGGTTTAATCGTGATTGGGGGTCAGCCTAGACGTCATCGCGGTATTGTCCGGGTTAAAATGGAATTTGCTGCGAATTAAATAATAAATGAATATTTTTTAAGAAATGTAAAGAAACAGATAATAATTAATAAATTAAATTAATGATAAAGAGCTAAATAATAAATCAAAATACAGGAGCCCATCTTATTTGAAACACCGTCTGGAATTAAGCTGAGGCTAAATCCAGACGCTCTCGGCAGCTGAGCGGCAGAATACGTGTTCGAGAGGTGAAGAGGTCTGGCATTCTAGTACCATTGAAAGCCAAGGTTTTAAAGAGGTGCTCCACTAAATAAGGACCTTTATCAGGTAGGGGGGCTGATTGTATATTGATTTTACATCTAGGGGACGCGTTCTGCGCCAACTAGAAGAGGTGATATAAAAGGCATATATTGGCCTAGATTACATTCTCTTTTCTATAACGCTCTAAGGAGAAATATTACGATACCATGCCTAGGTTAAAGTTATCTAAAGCTAGACTTCTCGTTGCGACCCTGTCTTGTAGATGACGTCTTCGAAAATCTTCACTATTTTTTAGAACATTTCTAAGTTAACTTCCACAGAAGACCAAAATCATCAGAAGCCATAAGTGGTCATTTTAGACAGAGGTTTATAGCTTAAGATGGAACGTATTTACATTCTGGATTCGAGTAATAGCCAAACCTTTTCACAAGCATTCAGAGAATACAGCGTGGCAACAAAAGGCTGAATAGCGCTTATGGGAAATAACAATTAATGTCCAGATACCATATTTCAGTATTTTAAGGCTTTTTTTTTTTTTACTTCCTTCTACGAAGTAAAGGCAGTATTGTAATCGAGAAAAATTTCAGGAATAACATTTAAAAAAATATCTATTTTTACCGCTCCTCGAATCTATTCGGAAGACTTTTTTGTGTGACGTCTATATTTTACGGAAAGAATAGCGAACTGTTTCTTCGAAATCTTATTGCAAAATGGATTTAAAATAGTTCCAAAGGGGATTTCTTCATAACGTTTGCACGTACATACGCACGTATAGTATAAGTATACCATGCAGTTCGAAAACTATTAGCCATAGAAGGTTGAAATTTGTATATGGGACTGCTATAACATCTAGTTATGCATCTCCCTTTCTTATAGCAATCGGCAACAACAAAAGAATATATATATAATCACTCCCTTTACCCAGCTTATAAGTTCTGACCCGGCCTTTATTTTTGCAATCCATTGTTGTACTCATACACTTCCACTTACAGATGTGTTTAAAAACGAAAATATTCATGTTTTAGCAATGTCAAATTAAAAAAAAAATGTAATTTAAAAATTTTGAATAAACAAAGAAATCTAACTTTAAATGTAGTATTCCATTGCCTATATTTAGAATTAGAAAAGTTTTATACAGGTTATGAAAAATGAAATCTACGACGTTTAACTCCTGCACACCAAAAATTGACCTGGGTACTTAATTTCAAAATTTGCAGTTTTTAATATCTTTTTCAACTTGCCGCTAGGCATCATTTAATTAAGTTAGATGGAATAAATTTAAATGAAATGCAGAAAAACATGTATATAATTTAATAGGCCGTTAGAGGAAGTCACGTGGTGCCCACATCAGATTATTTTTCTACATATTAAATAAATTACTAAATAATTATTAAAATTACAGTTAATAAAATATTAGTAATAGCAACTGCGTTTTGGGGGCTTTTACTACATAACCATTCCAACGGATAAGACTGCTGAATACATGTATTTAAAGCCAGATTCGAAACCAATTTTCCACAGAAATTCCTTCGCGAAGGCATCTGAAATGAATGCAATTTATGCAAATAGCTTTCGTATGCTTTTTCATATTCAACCAAACGAACAACAGAACCGCTACAAGTGAAGCATTGCTTCAAATGAGTCACACGTGAATTCGAAAAATACGTTAGTAATGAAGACAGATGAGAAGCAAGCCAAAGTAAAACGCAAAATTAGTACAGAAATACCATTGTGTTTGGTTTGGATTTTAAGCAAGACTCTATCAATTTCGAAGGCAAAACAGGTCCCTCTTTATCAGATATCTTTGCTCCTGTACCTGTTTCCCCTCGAAATCATAGAGACTTGATTAAACTCTACGCCGGGTACACAAGGGTATTTCCTTGCTAATTTTGCGTTAATAATGATTTTAAAGTGGTCAGTTATTATTACTACTGGAAATAAGCTTCAGAAAACTTAAGATAAAAAACAATAATTTTTTTTTTTTAAATCAAGCAAATCTAACCTTGCCTTGATTTAAAAAAACTTTCAAATACGGTTGTTTTTTCTACAGAACATGAACTGAGTAGAAGCATTTTTTGTCGATTTAGTTCGCTAAAGAGAAAATATTAAATTTCAAGAAAACTTGAAAATGAATACAAAGAGTTTAATACCATTTCAGTGTTATTGCCTACTTATGAAAAACGAACATTTTAACATTTTCATTTTAAGATTGTAAATAACTGGATGTGTTAGGTTTCTGAGTTTATAAAGCAGCGATTAAAAAGTATTTTAAGAATTATTGTATAATTATGCAGCAATAATTATGATAGTTGAATTAAATACAGTTGCTTTTTGTTTAATACATATATAGCTAGTTTAATTCTATATAGGGACGCAAATTTACCTTTTTGCCTCCGATGAAAAAAACTTTAGACACGGCTCTGCAAGCAAATAGATACGGTATTAATTTTTAGTATAATTAAAGTTAAATTTATACTAAAGTTTCGCTTTCTCTCTCTCTCTGTCTCTCTTTTTTTTTTTTTTCTTCCCAGCGTGTAGCAGAATATAAAACATCAGCAAAAATATTTTTAAAATATTATAATTACATTATTTGAAATATTATAATTAAAATTAGTAAGATAAAATTATTTATCAAAAACCAAAACCAAGCTTAACTGCAGGTAAGAACATTTTATTTATATAAACCAAGCAAAAATGTAGCCTTGCGTCGGCCGGGAGTCGAACCCGGGTCAACTGCTTGGAAGGCAGCTATGCTAACCGTTATACCACCGACGCTTCGCGAGAACAGCACATCTTTAACTTTTTCAAGATCAAAACTATGTCACTGACCGCTCGGAACAGTTCATCTTCATCGGAGCTCGGCAGTGAAAGCAAGTTCACATGCGATTTAAAATCACGGCAAGTTGGCTATGTATATTTCAGTATTCTTGGTAAGACTGAACTTACTTCGAGGTAATTTTAAATGAAATGGTTTTTAATAGTAAAGCTTGGTTCTTAAATGAATCAAACAATGCTTAAAGTTAAAATGGCCAATCAAACGTAACCAGTGTTCCATAAAATGTTCAACCGTAGTTTTTATACCCAATAATCTGTCTCTAATAATTTTAACTTCCGCATTTTTTCCTATCTGCCTTTCTAAATCATATTAACCAAGATGCTGATGCCACTGCTAACGTTAAAATTAATAACTAAAGTAAAAATTAAAGATAACTAATGTAAGCAGCACGTGCCCATAAAACTCAATGATCTAATACTTTCTTAAATCTAAGCTCGCAGAATGCAGATAACGATAAGGCATATAGCAGCCTAAATATTTTATTGCTGGAATCTTAAAATTCAAAAATTTAAATATATAAATATATCATGTTACCTTTTTCCAAAATAAAAGTATTTAATTAAGGGTTTCGTCTTAAAATTGCTTCATAAATCACTGCCATTCACAGCTTCGAAACAAAGAATTATTCATTTAAACTTTTTGATATTTTCCAGTGCTTTGAGATATGCAATAGGGATTTTTGTGGGTTAACGTGTGCACGTTGTGAATGAAAATGCCAGAATAGAAAAATGTTAAATAAAAATTTGTAACCCTTTTTACGACTCCAAGCAATAATAATTTTTACGTGTGATGATATTTGGGGGAAATTATTTGTGTGCTTTCATCAAATTACTTCCAGATAAACAGTTCAGCGAATATAAAAAGAAAAAAATGGAAACATTTAGCAGTCTGTAATCCCGAGCCCTGATCAGCTGAATGCGTCCAGGGCACACACATTCGCCTTCTCTACTGTAAGACACAAAAAGTAATCGAGATGAACTGGCTCACTGAACTTTAGTGCTTAACTTTCTGAATAATTCTTTACGATTGCTGAAGTTTTTGGAAAAAATAACAGTGTTTTAAATAATTACTTAAATATAAGAGTCATCATTCGGAGTTGCTTAACATAAAAATTAACACACTGTAGGCAAAATTCGTATTCCAATTCGATTAGTGATTTTCCAGTGAATCACTAGTTTACTTAATACCATGTAGAGAATCTAAATTCTTTTATTTTATTCAAATGTTTTACAATTATAAGATTTTATTTAGATTATTTATGGTGTTCTATTGCAGGTGGAATTTTGTCTTCAATTTTTAACCTACTTCCTGATGAGCTATCGAATTCACATTTTGCACACGTATTGTTTCTCGATGACAATGAAATGGGGTAAAACAATTTTTTTCCAAAATTCGATTAGTTTTTCTTTTTAATGTAATGTTTAAATGATTTTTAGTACATATTTTTGTTTAGCGTAACGGAAATGTAGTGTCTGCACCATCCAATAGAGCTGAAAAAAATATTTTCAATGAAATTTGTATAAAAATTGTAACTGCACCATCCAATAGAGCTGAAAACAATCTATTCAATGAAATTTGTATGAAAATTGTAACTTAATTTCTAAAGATTTCTCGAATTTTTCAAAACTGCTAGATTTTTAGATTATTTGAGGTTTATGATATTAAAATTCAACATCCGAAAATTTATCGGATAAAAGTTTTCAAAGTTTCACAAATTATAAAACAAACGTTTCCGGTCTTTTTTCAAATAAGATAAATAAAAAATATTAATTGAGCAATTTTCTGCCTTTTTACTTCCTTGTACGAAGTAAAAAGGAATTATTGTAATCGCGAAAAGCTTCAGGCAGTATATCTAAACGAAAATATCCACTTTGACCGCTTTCGAATGCAATTTAACGATGTTTTTGCGTGATATCTGTACGTAAGGGCAGAATAAAAAACTCTTTTCCTCCAAAAAAAATTTAAAAAAAGATTTAAAATGAATTCTAAAGAGAATTTTTCGTGGCGTCTGTACGAACGTACATACGTACGTACGTATCTCGCATAACTCAAAAACGAGTAGCTTCAGAACGTTGAAATTTTGTATATAAGACTACTATAACATGTAGATGTGCCAAATGTATATAAATATATTTATAAATATATCCACTCTGTTACCCGGCTCAGTGATCTCAGTTTCTTTACTGTTATATGTTTTTAAATTGTACATTTTTTGCTTTAAAAATGATTGAATTATGTTGTTTTTATCTTCCGGTTAAGGGTTTTATGCCTTTAGTAAATCTGTATGCAATATTTTTAGAATTATCAACAATTTTAAAATTGTTTAAGAGCCGCTAAGCCTAATTTCATGGCGGCCATTGCTCTTGTTAACATTTGAAACAGCTGAGTAGCGGATTTGTTCCCAATCTAGAAAACTTAGCTTCGCAACAAAAAAATAACGCCTTCATTTATTATTTAAATCCTTTCTGGAATTTTTTCGAGGAAATAAGCGTTTGAGATTTACTTCGTACTTTGCAATATAGATATTTTGATTTTTTATGTATTTTTGCCTTCTCGCAAAGTGAGAACTGAATTAATTAAATGAGAAATACTCAATCGTCTGTGAAAAGCTGTTTCTTTTTTGTTTTGTTTGCTTAATTTCTTTTATACATAGTTCTAGCTTTATTATAGTATTTGAATAGAACATGTTTCAACGATTAGATAATTCTTTAAATGATATACATTTTGTGCATTCTGAGTTATAATATAAAGGAAATATAATACTGTTAAGTAATCCTAGCGCCAGAGTGTCACTATGGTAAACAAAGTGAATTTTAAAGAATGCATGTATTCTATTGTGGTTTATGCACTGTCGGCGAAGTAGGTTAGAAAAAATGCGTATAATTTACTATTCTGTACAAGGAAGTCATGTGGTGTACACATCAGATGTTTTAAAAAATGTGTTTCAGTCTGAAGCAGACTAAAAAAAAAGTTTCAGTTTGGAAAAATAGCTTTTGTGTTTGTCATCTTGTCGCACTTAATATTGAATTAGAGATTTCAGTTTTTTTTTTTTTTTTTTTTTTTTTTTTTTTTTTCAAGTACAATGCTTGTCGTAGCATTCATTGTTATTGCATCCTATTTCCGAAATTTCATAATTCTCTTTTAATTTGTTGCTTGCCTTTCAATAATGACAAAATCTCTTTATTGATAAAGCGTAACTGAGAATAAAAAAAAAGTAAAGTACAATTAAAAAATATATTTATTAAATAAAGTTTTTATTTAAAATGGATATGATAACAATGCTTTAAAAGGAGAAATGTAATTTGTTATGTAGTTTGGTAGGAATAATAGATTAAAATAATTATATTTACAATTTTATATCGCGAATCATAACGCGGAATACTTAAATAGAGAAATTTGTAAATTTAATAATTTACCAAATATATAAGTCATTATCTTTTCTAATTTATCATGGGGCTCCGCGCTTTTATTATTCACGATAAAGAATTATTTAATTTGTTATTCCCATTAAACTATATGATAAATTATTTTGCTCTTTTTAGTGTATTTCTCACATGTTTTTACTTCCTTGTACGAAGTAAAAAGGAAGTATTGTAATCGCGAAAAGTTTCAGGCAACATATTTCAACGAAAATATCCATTTTGACCGGTAAAGCAATTTAACGATGTTTTTGCGTGATATCTGTACGTAAGGACAGAATAAAAGACTCTTTTAATCCAAAAAATTATAAAACTGCTTTAAAATTAATTCTGAAGAGAATTTAGCGTGGCGTCTGTACGTACATATGTATCTCTCATAACTCAAAAACGAGTAGCCTCAGAAAGTTGAAATTTTGTATATAGGACTGCTATAACATGTAGATGTGCACCTCGTATTTTGGTTGCAATCGGCCGCACTAAACGTATATAAATATATTTATATATATATATATATATCCAGTCTGTTACCCGGCTCAGTAATCACAGTTTCTTTACTCTTATATGTTTGTAAATAGTATATTTTTTGCTTTCAAAATGATTGAATTATGCTGTTCTTATTTTTCGGTTAAGGTTTTTAATGCCTTTAGTAAATCTGTATGCAATATTTTTAGAATTATCAGCAATTTAAAAGCTGTTTAAGTGCGGTTAAGTTTTAAATAACATGGCGGGCATATTTGTTTACATTTGAAACAACAGAATAGTAGATTTGTTGCCAATCTAGAGAGACTAAGCTTCGCAACAATAAAGATAACGCCTTCATTTATTATTGCGAATTAAATCATGCTTAATCCTTTCTGGAATTTTTTCGAGGAAATAAGTGTTTAAGATTTACTTCGTAATTTTTAATGCAGATATTTTGAGTTTTTATGTATTTTTGCCTTGTCGCGAAGTGAGAACTGAAGTAATTGAATGAGAAATACTAAATCGTCTGTGAAAACTGTTTCTTTTCTGTTTTGTTTGCTTAATTTCTTTCATACATCGTTTTAGCTTTATTATAGTATTTGAATAGAACATGTGGCAACGCTAATTCTTCAAATGATATAAATTTTGTGCATTCAGAGTGTCGTTATAGTAAACAAATATAGTGAATTTTAAAGAGTGCATTTATTCTATTGTGGTTTATGCGCTGTGGACGAAGTAGATTTAATTTAATCCAATCAATTTAAATGAAATTCAAGAAAAAAATGCGTATAATTTAATATTCCGTACAAGGAAGTCATGTGGTGTACACATCAGATTTTTTTAAATAAAAGCTTTATGTAAACAATTTTTTTAATTATATTTAATTTTTTTATATCTTGCAACATAATATTTTACTTATTAGTCGTAAAACACTTGAATAAGGGTCTATTAATAAATTACAGCAATCAAAAGTATTACTGCATTGACTTGATACAGAGTTAGATTATTTAAAATAAGTAAAGAAATAGAATAAATTGTTGATTTGTTTTATTAATGGACAGGTATTTCAGTAGCACTGATTATAGCATTTCGCATTTGAGAGGCTGATGCTATATCTTCGTTTCAAAATAAAAACTTCAAGTTTATTAAATTTTAAATCATGAGATGCATGAAATGAAAGATGAAAGACGGTAAAATGTTTCATGAATTTCGCACTCAATTAAAAAACTTCAGATGTAAATATTTTGTGTATTTCCTCATAATTCATTGAGTTGATTTACCTAAAAATCCTACATAAACATTCATGTCCATTAAAATTAACAAAGCATATTAACAGCAAACCTCTTAAAAATATGTATATTCCGAAAGTAATCAATGAAAAATACAAGATAGTATAAAAAGTACATGAAGTCTTGCAATGCTAAATTAAACATATACTATTTTCTAATTACTATCGATTGTTTTATGAAACTCCAAAAATATCCTTTAGGCTTTCGATATTTAATCTGAAATAGTAAAGTTTAGAGCAAATTTTCATTTTTATTATTCTATGGCAAATGAATCCTATAATTAGGATCTACTATTTGGTTCACACTTTCAAAACTCTGACAACAGAGACACTTGATTCAAACGCTTATATCTTTTCTTTGAGAATTATGAATCCCGAATCACATGTAGTTGTAACATAAAATATCCTTTAACTCTTTTTCATTGCAATACTACACTGCAGGCCGTTAAACTTGCAACTCCAGGAAGGAATGGTCTGATGAACGTCAAAATCACATGAAAGAAAGAAGAAGTTGAGACATACCAAATGGGACCAGTATTTCAGCGCATTTTAGACGAAGCAGGCGGGAGAAACGACTTTTCTTTTATGAAACACTACATAAAAGAAAAGTTGTATAGTGGATGTCTCATTCGAAAAGGGATTTGTAAGATGGGAGTATGCACAGAATATCGTGTTATGCCTCGAATAAGAAAATGGAATGCTTACCAGCAAATTTCAAAATTCAATCGAGACAGGATGGTTACTTATCGAAAGTGTAGGCTATCATATCATACGTGTCTGGAGTGTCCGAGGAGACAACACGTCGCCTGCTTGCATTCGATATCAGCATAGGGGCCCTGTACCTGGTGTGATGGTTGGGAAGCTATTGGGTATACGACACGCACATCTCTAGTTCGGATCGATGGTAATTTGAAAGCAAATGGGTACATTTCTGACATCTTACGTCCAGTGATTGTGCCCTATCTTCGAGATCTCCAAATGCCATATTTCAACAAGATAATGCAAGGCCACATGTTTCACTTCGTGTTTTGACCTTTCCCGATACACAGGATATTCGATTGCTGCCCTGGCCTGCACGGTCTCCAGATCTGTCACCACTGAAAACATTTAGTCATGGATTGCTGAGAAACTGGCCCACTACCCCTCCGCAGCTAATATGGTTGATCAAGTGTGGCATAGGCTTGAAGCAGCGTGAGATAA